CCAAAAAAAAAAAAAAAAAAAAGAAGAAGAAGAAGAAGAAAAAAGAAAGAATGGAACTGCCTTTACGTCCGCCGGCCGGACCCGTGTTCCCGTTAATCTCTTCCTGCCCTCGAAACTACGTATTCGGCGCTCGGAGCTGGCAAAAGCGGACTCGTTTCGAGAAATCTTGCCGATTTCGTTCGGAGAGAATCGGCGATGGTACTCTTGTAATTATTTGTAAAAGATTTTGCGAGCCTTCTTCTTCTATTTCGTATTTCTACCGTCTTTTATTTGCATTCTATATTTTGCATTCATTGAACTCTCAATCGGACGATTGGATTTGTTCAAAAGGTTTTTACTGACTCTGTCAAAAAGGATACAGTCAAGTTCGATTTCTTTCTTCTTTTCTGAAGTTCGTTAAATTAATTGCGACGATCTTTTCTCTCATTTTCATTTTTCCTTTTAATTTCGTACAGGAAATTGATTGCGGCTGGAGGGTTGAAAGAGAAACTTCGTAACTCTCACAATTGCGTAACGCAATGTAATTCGTTACTAAGAAGTTTGCAGTTATCGGAACGAAACGTAATCGCGTATTTTATCCGATATAAAGTGCCATTTATTACACGGTTACGATCACCGTGATACTCAATTAATGCAGCCACACGTTGTAATTGCGTTTATCACTCGGTTACCTCAAGCCTTTTTTTATTTATTGCGGTGTTAAAACAAGAAGTATCGCTGTTGAATTTCCCCACCGATTTCCAACTGACTGGTGAAAGCATTATAAAAGAAGTTGGAATAAATTTAATCTAGATAGATTGAAGTACACATTGGATATTATACTTTATCTGCTTCTGATCCCTATTGCTTGCATTAATTTATATTTCTTTCTGGCCACATTGAATATTATACTTTATCTGCTTCTAATCCCTATTGCTTGCATTAATTTATATTTCTTTCTAGAATAGGGAATCAACTCACCGAGTATTCCGTCGATGGAATGATTTCTTCGAGGATCGTCTCCAGGACGAGTCTGATTCGTAGGACCACGAAGAAGTCTCGAGATACTGGAAACTGAGGGCGCAGACGCTTTGTCACAGATACCATCCTGCTGGCAAAACCATGTCGGACCAGTTAGTATATCAGTGGAAATCAATCCAATTGTCCTCATAAATATTCCATACAAATCATAAATAATTCATAAATATTTGATAAACTGAGATCATTATATAATTATATTAATAAGACGCTATCACTAAGATTATGTTATAATATAAATTGATAAATTAAGATTGGTAAAGTGCACCTAATTAATTCTCAGATATCAAGAGAAACATTTACTCAAATGACTATAAAGTGTGTACTATAAAGACATTATCAACAGACCTTTATCAATTTCTCGCGAATTTCCCAGCTGAATATTCCTGGATTCTGTCTCTTCATGTCTTCGATCCTCGCTTCCACTTCCGGCGTCGCGACCCGCGGTTTGCTACCACCGATCACACCCGGCCTTATCGATCCTGTTTCTTGATACCGATTCAAGATCTTCGACACGCAGCCGTGAGAAACTCTCAACTGTCTGGAGATGACGCACGGTCTGACACCAGCCGCTGCCATCTCTACGATTTTTAAACGGATATGGTTCGGCAGTGGGCGGCCATTGATAAAGACACCTCCGAGTTGATTCACACGACCTTGCCCTGGAAAAAGAAAAAACGATGCTGTACAATATTGTACAATAACATCACAAATAATATTGTACAATAACATCACAAATAATAAATACATATATATAATAATTTTCATTTTTATAAAAGTTCGAGTTATCCAGTTTCAACGACGACTGAAGCACAAAACGTCAACAAAGTAAAACAGAGAAACTTTATTATACGTATTATAGGAACAATCATTTAAATATTAAAACAAACGTAGACTGTTTTAATATCTATAAAATTATAAATTGATTATTTTGTTGAACATTTTACCTCAGTTTCAAAAAAAAAAAAAAAAAAAAGAAAAGAGAGCTCAATCCAATGTCAATTTCAAAGTGTGAGTGCAATCAAAGCAAGATGTACATTTTTCAGTAGCACAAAATCAGATCAGAATGTTGTGTGCCACGCGAAATGCCCATCAGACACTAATTACTAGCAATTAGAGGCTATATTGAAGAAACTAATTACAATAACGAAGTTAAACAAGAGGGTGGAAAAAGTAACAAGGGAGGAGCGGCGGTCCTTCAAAAGGAACAAGTTCAAAAGAGGATACCTTTGCATTCAGCAGTAAAACTTAAGACAGGACAACACGAACACACTCATTTACGTTTTTTCTAGCTAGCTTCGACTTATCCTTTTGCTTCGACAAGTCAATCGTTAGAAATTAATGAGTGATTGCAGCAGATAACTATCACTGTGACATAATTTCTTTCAAGCTTTGAAATACGAGCAATAAGGAATGTTTGATGAAAATAAAAATAAAATGTCAATGTAAAACTTTCGAAAAATTAAAGGCAAAATGATTAAGGGAAGCAACATGTTAATAGCTTGAATATTTCATTATATTGGAATATTGGAATATTTTGAAAATTATGAAAAAAAGATAGAATTTAAAGATAATTCCTCTTAAAGCCTGTACTGTTTTCGCCAGTCTTCCACTTTCATAATGTTCATAGTGTTGAGGTAAACAGACATTTTAATATCTTGAATATTTTATTTTACTTTGATTTCCTAAATATTTCCGAATATTCGAATATTTTGAAAAGTGTGGAATTTTAAAACAACCTCTCTAAAAGTCTGTATTTTTCTTCTAATCTTCTGCATTATTTCACTCTTATAATTTTCACACGTGAAACATCTTCAAACACGTGCAATAAATGGACACTGTGGTAATTCTTTGAAACTCCGGGCTCGATTAACATTCCAAAAAAAAGAAAAGTGAAAATTGAATGTTGTATCTCATTCTAAATGAATTAGAGAATCAGCGTGTGTAAATCATTTAGGTTTCTGTAACACTTAATTAATTTCCATCGTGGTCCCGTCGATTTGTATATTTGTCGTAAATTTACATTAAAACGAAAAAAAAAAAGAAACAAGAAGAAACAACTGTCGCTGAATGGCGAGAGTCCGCGGCGTACCACCGCGATATAAAGTTTACGACGTGCACGGGTAATTGGATGCGATAAAGAACTATTGTTTCAAACACGCTGGTTCGAAGAGGTGTTCTTGAAAGAGAATTCTTCCAAGTTTTCTACGAGACGATTTCTCAGAGTAATACTAGATGATGCATTGAACTCTCCACGAACGCATTATCGCTGCTTACCTATTGGAAGAGCAAGACACGGAGACGTTAGAGTTGAAATTGAAACCGGAAGTCTTTATATCGCACTAACTATAACTAGAAGGGTGACGTTATATAATATCATATTTTATCTATGATTCTTTCAGTGGTCAGTGATCGAAAAATGAATCATGAGAAGTTTCAGTATACTGTGCAAGGCGTAATTGTGACAAACAGTGAAAAATTGTCGATGATTTAATTATTTTATTTGTTATTTAATTGAATTCCTGATATAATTTCACAAGGAAAGATTATATAATCCATTTGATCTCATTTTAAAGCGAGAAGTTTCTAATTTGACGAGTTCAAGATGATTTTACATAACCGTGACGGATGAGAAAACTTGATGGGGATACTTTTCTTTTGGAAATTGTGAAAATTCGAATGCGCGTAAAGAGATTAAAAAATTTGTTCCACGAGTAGATCCAATATGATCTATTGAAGATAAGTCTGGTATTGATGTGATTTTAAAGAATGAAAAATGAATTATAATAATTCTGTAATATTTTCTTGCTTTTACAGATTTATAGGTATCGATCGTCTCTCTGTAAGTAAAAGTTACATTTTGTAAATTTAATAGAATTTGCCAATCTTTTCTTTTGCTTCGTCTATTCAGATCAATAATAGTATAGTACCAGATTATTCCTTCTACGCACGACTCTTAAGTGGAATTGTCTGTTCTGACACAGACTGCACGAAGCAGACACTACGTCGTATTTCCAATTCAGATCACTTGAGAGAGTAATTCGATAATTATATAATGAGAAGAGAAGTTACTCGATTTTAGTGTAAAGTAAAATTACATTCTTGCGTCACTTTTACAACAATAAATTTACCCAAAGCAGTCAAAATACATAAATAAAAATTTGTAACTTTCCACAAATGTAGAATTGTTAGGGGAATGTCTTAGGACACCTTAGCTCTTTAGAAATTTAAATTTTTGTATACTATGTAAATATAATGTTTTAATTTCCAAAAGATATTCACTGGAAGAATAACAAGTATCGTTACTATAATCCCAAAATAAACATGACAGAACTAAAGATACTACAGCAACAACAACTTTAAATTCACGATTTAAAAAAAAAGAACGACCGCAGAAGACCTAATTGACATCCATGTTACAATAAAGAAAACGCCTACAATTTAAATTCCAAAGAAAAAGAAAAAAAAAGAAAAAAAAATGGACAATCAACTCACGTATGTACGAGAGAAAGAGGAAAGGAACGGAGGAGGCTAACGACTCGCTAAAAATTGATAATCATCGTAGTAATGGGCCTGTCGTTACACCAAATCCCTCGTAACACCTGCTACGAAAACTTCTGCTAATTACCACGGCATAATTCAAAAAGATACACCCCACCAGCGCCGCCTGGTCGCTGGTCGGTGTATCTGGTGCCGCCAAAGTAGTCCCGTTTCGTCATTCATCAAGTCCGCGAGATTTACATCCCCCTCGACCCCCCTGCCGGCGTGGGATCCCGATGGACCCCGTAAGGACATATCCACAAGCGCGTGCAACGCACACACGGGCGATATCGTCGCGTTACGTACGGCCCTCGGACACCTCTCATGACGTCAGTCAGGCCGCGGGGCCCGACGGGATTACAGACAAGATCAAAAGGCGCCGACCGCCGCCGCCGACTCGATCTCGCTCGCTCTTTCTCTCTCTCAGTTCCGTCTTCTCTCTCTCTCTCTCTCTCTTTCTCCGTCGTCTTTGGCCGCGCGTTTCTCTCGGTACGCACCGGGGTTCAAAACGGGCTCGAAGCGAAAGGACCTGGCCATAGGGTGGCCCCTTATGCCCAGTGGATCCGTGAGCACCACTGACCGCGCGACAATACGCGAAATTTTCTGCGTAACCGGGACATCTTCCGTTATAAGAAACACGGTTTTATTGAGTGTTGGACGGTAGGTTAAATTGGGTTCGATGTGATTTAATATCGATAGAAATTTAGCGACGATAGATGAAATTTCTTGGGATTCTTCATTACGAAATACTCCATAGTGAATATTGAGTGTTGGGTGTAGATTAAATTGGGCCTGATGTGATCTGGTATTGATACAGAGTGAAGTAGAAATTTAAAGAAAAAAGATATGTGAAATTTTAGATTAAAGTTAGATTAAAATTTTCTACATTGTATTCCATAATGAATTAAATTGGAATCTAGTTTGATCTAGTATAAATTTAGGATGACAGGAAGAATTTAGAAGTCCAGAAAATACGTAAAATTTTTTGCTACGTTACGAAATAAAATTCTCAGTTGCATGCTACGAGCTGTCCACGATAGAGCGTGGTAAATGTTAAAAAATCTAAAGATAAAAAATAAATACTAATCAAATAAAAGAAAAGATTCTGGTAATTATAAATTGGGAATATTTTCGAAATTATAAAAAAACTTTTTAGTTTAGAAGCTTCTTTGATGTTCTAGTTTAAATCTCTTGCACTTTTTTAATAAATGAAATAAAATATCAGAAACCGGACTGGAAATTTTCAAAAGAACACGTACATAAAGCATATGCGAAGCAAGAAAACAAAATATGTTAATATTAAAGGAGTAGCATCCTTATAATTTGACCAATCGAGTAGCAACTACAAAATAATAAATTCCAAAAGTATAATAAATAGTATGTCGGTAATAAAGGGGTCGGGGCTTCAATCACTTTTATAGCAAAATGGCCTGCAACAGCATTGAAAACAAGAATTTGCATTCAAGTTTACTTTACGGCGATTGCCAGCGAAATTGTACTATCTGACAAATACCAGCGCCATTGAAACCCCGTTGGCCGGAGGGTAAATTTTAATGATGCGAGTTGCGCCGAGCGAATTCAAATCGGGGAAGGCCCCTATCGCTTCATATCGGCACGATCATGGATATTAGCGTGATCGCCCACAATCAATTACCCGTTATCAATAATTCATGCTGGAAATTATTTTCTCGATCATTTCGTACAGATCGGCCGTCTTTTATCTCTGCTACAGGGTGGTCTTACCTCCGCGACGAAGTACAAAGTTTTCAAGCATGTTAATAAGCGTCGAACATTCTTTTTCTTTTATTCTTTCTTTTAACAAGTGTCCCTCGTTTTCTCGTTTCTTTATTATTAATCTAATTCTTTTAATTCGTACCGCCAATCATCAATGAACGTCCACTTTGTTTCCATTCTATTGTACATAAGTAGGAAATATTTTAGAAATTTGCAACAGCTTTCAATAATCGGAAAATTAATATTTTCAAAGACACGAGATTGGAACAGATTATTTGCTGGCTTGGAAGAACTTTGGAAGAAATTTTCAAGCTAAGAAACAACTGATTATTTTATAATATCGTCTCGTCCTTCTGATGGTCTTGCTTCGTAAATAATGTACAAGTAC